AAGGCGGCGGGTTTTCTTTTGGTCGTTATCTGGATTTTTTGAAGTTGAATGCAGAGAACTTAGAGCCATTTGCCAAACTGAGGGGGGTAGGAAGTGGCAGAGCTGGAAGTACAATCCCAGATTTTTATTTCTCAAGCCTTCATTTGAGGCATCAGGCTAGGCTGATAATCTGAAAAATATTATGCTTATATTTGTGTTGCGCCTCATTAAAAATAATTTTCCTGGAAAATTTCTGTTCTCCACTCTGAGCTGCAGACAAACAAATGTTATTCCCTATATTTGAACTTGTTCCTTGAATAATTCTTTTAATAATTCCTGATCTGTAAAGGGCTTAACTGAGAGTGCTTCCCAACTGGACATTCTCGCTATGCTGGTTATTTTTAATTGGATGCAGAACTCGTATCGTTGATTTTTGTCTCCCAGTCTGGAGGAATGCAACTCTTAAATACGGGTTGTCAGTACAAATCCTTGTATTTATGACTTAAAAATTTACTCTTATGTGGAAAATCAGTGCAAGGCATATGTACCGTTTAAGTCTTACTTTGAGGCCCAAATACAGTTTTGCCACAATTTTTTTTCCCCAGACATGTGAATTTCATCTTTTCATTTTTTTGTCAGTACCCACTTCAAATCAGTCATTTCCACAATAATCTTGCAAGGAAACTAATTTGCTAGAGTAATTATGGGATGTCCTATTTGGAGAAAATCCATCTTTTTTCATTTAATTTTTTGTAGGAATAAATAACTTAATTTTAACATTCGCTTTTGTCCCTGGTCAGGGGACTTCGAGCTCTCGGGTGGGTGATCACGGAAACCTGAACATGATGATAAATACGGATTGGTGCAGACAAATGTTTTGTTGCTCAGAGATTTGATAACATCCGTGCCTGGAGTGGCACTATGGGAGAAGCAGGATACCTTCAGAAGGGCCAGATCCAAAAGGGGTTTTACCTGCCCAACTCCTACTGAAGTGCCTAAACTCCCATTGAAATCCCCAAATGACCTAGTCCTCAGTGACTTAGAAACCTAGGTGACTTTTGGGGCTTGTCTCTCTCTGTCACCAGATGCTTCTTGAAAATCCCACACATCCTGCATGCTCTGTGATGGTTGATAATATGGTTTTGGTCTTATACACCCACCTGTCCAACTTGTTGATAGAGATTTCTGTTCCAGGAAGATACTAAAACTTGCTGTGTTGCACATCGCTGTCTCAAGATGCTAAATGGTCGCAATAGCTCTTCGTGGCTGTAGTCAAGGGGAAAGCTACAGGTTCCTAATGTAAACAGTCCTGAAAGCTGGCAAGAATAGGATCCATTATAAAATGGCATTGTTAAATCCTGCATGTTGGCTAGACAGCGAGTCTGGTGATAATATCAATGAACCTCCACTAGTGATGGGCGCAGTCCATTCATGAAGGTCAGCAGTGATGCAGTGACTGGAGCACAGGGCCAGGGATCAGGGCTGTGTTTCAACCCCGGAGAGGATCGAGTGGTCTAGGAGTTGGAGTATAGTGCTAGGAGATCTTGGGTTCTGCTCCGAGCTCCCAGAGGGAGGTATGATCTAGCGCAGCAGGGGCCAACCTTTTTGGCAGGTGTGCCGCAAATTTACTCCACGCTCTCTCATCGTGCTGCTTGGATCCCCTTTCCCTACCTGCTCTCTGCTCCCTCCCCTGTGCTCCCTGCTGAATCCGAGGCTCTACTTTCTGCCCTATCTGCCGCTGCCCCCATGTGCCCTACATGCAGTCTGCCTGCACCACTTCCGCAACAGCCTGGCCACCCCTGGTTGTGGGGTTAGAAAGCAGACGGAGGGCAAGATTCTTGGAGGTAGGTCTTCAGCTGGGGTAGACTATTGTGGTTGTGTCCATTCACATCAGCTGAGGAGCTGCCCTTCGGGTTCTGTTGTTGGGACTAGAAGGAAGCACTGTGTCCTGGTGAGAATAGTGGTATATATGGGCATTTGGAGAGCTGATTTCCACTCCTGTCTCTGCTGCTGAGTCACCATGTGGTCTTGGGCAAGTCACATAGCTTCTCTGTGCCTCTGCTTCCCTATCTGTAAGATGGCGAGAACAGTGGCACACACCTCCACAAAGCATTTTCATTCTGTGGTTGAAGATGTGCTGCATTAGTGCAAAGCACTATCACAATACTGATGAGAACAGGGAATTTTCTCAAGCCATTTCAGGAAGGTATCCCTCTCTTACAGACAGAGCGCTGTTAACTTGAACAAGGTGATTTAAAACCCCACCCTAGTGCTAATGATATAAAGCTTTTTTCTTATCAGACGGTGTCCTGATACAGTATTTTCATTCCTGCCTCCCAGTACCGTACGGTGCTGCTTAGGCAAGTGAGGAAATGGGTCAGAGCCCATCGTCTGAATAAGGCAGCAGAGAGACCGTCAACCTCTTGCTGTTCTGCTTTTGCCTTTGCAAAACCGAAAGTGGTGGTGGTCTGGATCCTGCTTTCTTTTTATATTTACCTCCAAAGTCTGGGGTACTTCAGGGACAAGATTCAGCTGTCTCCAGAAATACATAGCGAAGAACACCAATAACATAAGGAGCAGAGGGTGGAGAACAGCTGGAAACAAGGACTTTTTCTGATGATAAAGTCCAATAATGGCTTTACCAGTCAAGTACGTACAAACGAGGAGCAGTCCCGTTGCAGTCAGCAAAACCACATATACCGTACATGGTGGGAATTGCTCCTTTCGGTAGCCGGTGCTTGCAGGATCAGGGCTTCACTTTCTCCTTTCTCTTTTGCATTTCGCTTTATTATTTTTGCATGTGTGTCTGCTGGTGTCCATCTGCCTGTCTGCACTGCAGTTATTGCTGTGACAGCACTATGGTGTAGGCACACCTGAGCGAGCTAGTGTGGGTACAGATAGCCGGCTAGTTGCAGTGCACAGGGATCAGTAGGGGCCAGGCTGCTGAACTCTGCGTTATCGTGGTCAGACTGCTATCCGTACCTGAGTTAGCTTGGATTTGACTGCACTATGCTACAGTCACAGCGGTGACTACAGGAAGGACGTGCCCAGGTTGCCTTTCCCATCAGTCACAAACGTACTCTTGCAGAGAAGCTCATGCAAGCACTCATTAGGACTGAAGAAGTGCTACTAGACTAGCGGTTGCAGAATCAGGCCCTTGGGGACCAGGGGTTGGGAAGTGAAGAGATCCAGTGGGAAGCCAGCTTAAAGCACTGAGTGTAGAGGGAGGGGAGAGCTTCTCCGCACGAGGAGCAAGGGAGCTGTTTGAGGTGCAGGGGGGTGTTGGTGGGGAGACGGCTACAGCCGTTGTACTGTGTCAGGACAGGCTCAGCCGTTCACACTGAAGTAATCCCAGTCCTCTTCTCGTTACAATTAGCAGGAACTTTGCTACTGGCCCCTTCTCTGCCAGCATCAAGTGATGCCTCATAAATCGCAGCACACACAAATGTATCTCACATGCTCCCTTACTTTCTTTTGTGCAGTTATTTTAGTGGCTTTCCAAAAACTTACTAAATTTGAGCCTGATCTTGCTTCTACTGGTGTCGGTGCCAAAGCTCCCAGCGGTAACAGTGCGTGACTCAAGGCCTATCTACCTGCTCAAGAAATGAACTTACATATATTTTCTCTCCTCTTTTCCCCCCAACCCTCCCCTTAGGGAAAAGCTTTACGCTGACCATCACCGTGTTCACAAACCCCACGCAAGTTGCCACCTATCACCGAGCTATTAAAGTGACTGTGGATGGACCCCGGGAACCAAGAAGTAAGTTATGTATTTTATTTGGAACTGGCCAGTAGCAGAGCATGGGCCCAGCAAAGCTGACCTTACCGCGTGTGCTCCCCTGCCAATGCACAGCTGCTGTGGGGGGTGTCATGAAGAAGTGGCTTTTTTATTGTGATACGTCTGTGTTAATTCTCTGACGCTGGCATGTTTTTAGAGCGCTTGTAACACCGTGTGATTTGCAGTGTGTACGGGGTTTCTTGGAAACACTGTGTGTGATGTGCCCACACCGTGTGTGTGTTGAATGCTGCTTGTGTCTGCCCTTCTCTTTGCTCGCTCCCGCAGTGCTAGTAACACGATCGCTGCAGTCTGGTTTTGCTCTTCCATCCCAGATGGCACTTAGGAAAATGCCATTGGCTTAAAAAAAGCAGCATTGGTTCAAACCCTGAGGTGTGCAGAGCACCTGCAGATCTGATTGAAGCCAGTGGCTCTCAGCACTTCTCAGGAGTTGGCCTCATTATAAAGAAGCCCATTTCCTTAGCTGGGGTTTCTTAGATTATTAAAATGAAAAGGGACTTACAAGTCGAGTTTCCTCCGCTCTGTTCAGTTCTTCTTTTTGCATGTCTCTCACTGCAGCCTGTGGTACGGTCTTGAAGCCAGTAGTTACCCTCTTTAGTTTGTAGTTAGTTTTGCTTTCAGGTTCTCAGTGCTGCTGCTGCGTGCGGCTGGCAAGCGCTGCAAAGGGGGATGGTCTACAACTGCAGCTGGAGGATAGAAAGTTCTCGGGCTTTGTTTTGACCTATCGCTTGCACAGAGCTGAGCCGATGGCATCTCTCAAGTGGATGTGGCTGCCCCAGTTTGGGATCCACATAGTTTGGGCCTTAAAATTTTGCCTGGCTGCCTCCCTGACTGTTGGCACGCTCGGGTAGGCAGGTGGCAGAATGATTGCATTGTGGTGGTACTGAGGATCTCTGGACAGAGCTCCTTCGTGCTAGGTGCTGTACAGACACCGTACGTGTTTGCTTCTCTCGTGTTAACGGATGAAGCCGTTTTCCTGCTTCTTAGGAACGTGGGGCTGCCTTATACTGTCTGCTTGGTATTTCACTGAAGTCCTTTGCTCAAGTCTTCCTCTCCTTTAGTGTAGATCACTCAGTGCTACCCCCATGGACCATAAAGCAGTTTGTTCACTCTACTAAAGCTGTTGGTGTCCAAAATGAAAGGGAAATGCTCTGAGCCTTCTAAATATGCTTTAAAATATTTTCTGTTGTGGCTGTTGTTATGCCATCTGCTCGGCTTGAAGGAAGGCCAGGCAGGCACATGGTGTAACAAGCTGCTGAGATCCATGCAGCTTGGTTTTGTGTGGTCTAGTTTATCTTCAATTCTTTTTTATTTTATTTTGGAGACAAGGACTGAGGTGCTTACTGTTACCCCCTAGCCAGTTTGATGTAGGATTTATTTGGAAAAATAAACACCGAAGTGATGCAATTTAAAACTTTTTAAAAAGCAACAAATACCATAATTATTCCTATTGCAATACTCCCCTAACTGAAACTGGGCGCCCATGGTGCTAGGCACTGTAAGTATACCCCAAAACACAAGCCCAGCCTCACAATCACGTCACCTAAAGAGACCCAGCAGCCCAAAGTGGGGATGGAAGCAGGTCCAAATTAGCCAAGTGCCGGCCCAGTCACGCGGTGAGTTAGTCGGGACTAGAAGCCAGGTCTCCTGATGTTCACTTTTAAAGCGCTCTGCAGTTGCACACTTCTGTCAGGGCACAGCTATAGAGCGCTTGCAAGGGGCTGATTGCACAACAAATGTACTATTTCCTTGCTGTATAATCCAAGGCCTGAATACGTATCAGTGCAACACAGCCCCACTTGCTGTAGAACCCAGGGGCTTTTTATCACCGTCTCTGGGACTGAGAGGGACTTTTTCCAGAGAGATTTGTTCAGAGTTTGTCAACCAGGAAGGTCATAAGCGTGCTCTCAGTTTGGCTGAAGAGGCTTGGGGTCTGTTTCGAGGCGTGATGGAAATCTGTTCTGTAGAAGTGCTTTTTGTATATGTTGTACCTCATTGTCCTTCAGTCTGTACTGAACCAGAAATAAAAGTGCCTCTTCATGCACACGCGCACACACGCACGAAATGGTGAGGAAGTATTGCATGTAAAACGACACAGTCAGTCATGAAACCAGATGTGGTTTTCACAGCTAACCCACCACTGGGCAGCTCCCAGTACCAGAGCCCTGTTATACGCTGCGTGTGATCAGCTGCTAGAGCTCATGGCCACAGGGGAACCATTGAGTTAAATCCTGTAGCCGGTTGGTTGGTAAAAGGGGCTGGATAAAGTCACTGCCAATAAACACATTTGGCTCCGCACGGTGTGACCACACCTCCCGATTCATGTCAGGAGCTCGTTTCTGCAGGGCGATGACGGTTCTCCCCTTCATCTGCAGCCCTGCATGATTGGCAAGATGCTTTGTGCTGTCTGTTCTCTTGCAGCGGCAGGCAGGCAGTGCTAGAGGCAGGATATAGCACTTGGTGGGGATTGGGTTGATCTGGTTTGACAGGAAAAGCATCCTTAGTATGGAAAGAAGCAGCCATTTGTAACAGGGTCCTGGGAAAGCCGTGGGCATCATCTTCTCAAATGCAGAGAAATTCCCCAAGCAAATGTTCTTCTAGGTGTTCAAACAGAGGCACGCTCTGTCTGCACGCACCACCCCCTTGTGTCTGGTCCTCCTCTACCCCCTTCGCCAAGCCTTTGGAGCAGAGAGCTTTTTCCTGGGATTTGCTTACTTCAGGTCTGTCCTTCAGCGAGCTTTTTAACTCACGATGAGCCTAAATCGTAACTGCAGACCATGACCTCCCTGGATTTGAAGGGGAGGGGTTAGGAATTTGAGCCTGAACCCTAGAGCAGGTCAGTCTGGAGCCCTGCACTGCATCCCACTGACCTTTGTGGCTTGGATCGGGCTGCTGCAGTGCAGCTGGCATGCTGTGGTGGGAGTGCGATAGCTGGGGCCCGTGTTGGCTCTTAACCAGATTAAATCCCATATGTGATGCGAGCAGAAGTTTCAGGGCAGCGTATTGAATCACTGGCAGGCCTGTCTTCAAGGGACCTCAGCCTGAGCCCCGGCTTTGCGCCCGCAGTCGGTGGCAGGCACAAGCAGTGGTAGAACGTAGCAGCTGATCTAAGGAGCGCCCGCCGAGCGGTTGGGGTGAGGCGTCACTGGTGGCGTCACGAGGTTTTGGTGGTGTCTGTTGCTTTCACCCGCAATCAGTCACAAGAGCGGCCGTGGGAGAGCGGGAGAGGCTGGGCTTTGAAAATGTGGACACGGAGCGACCCTGGCAGGGAACGTTGCTGCTCGTGTCGGAGTTCTTTCGCTGACACCCCAGACCAGACTGCCTGCAGTTAGAGGAATCTCCCTCTGCAATGCCTCGGTTCTGCCTCCAAATCTTTATTTTGCTAAAACTCTTCATGGCTTGGATCTGGGAGGGAAAAAAAGAAGAAAAAAAATCATTTTTCATGTTGACACCTTCGGTTCTAAACAAATTGCACTTGTAGTGCCAAGTGTTGACATGCTTGTACAAACAGGAAGTAATAAAATATTTGAACTTCCTGTGGAATTTCCTTTTTTTTTTTCTTTGCAGCTCTTTATTTAGCGAGAACCCAACTGAGACAAGCTGCAGGCCTTGTGCGGCGCCCGTAATAACGTCCACAGCTGCTTGCACAAGAGGCTGCAGGAGGCACAGCACTGGAGAAGTGCTTGTCTGAAGCCCTATAGCAGCAGCAGCAGGCCTTGAGCAAATGGGTGCACATATGCCACCTTCCCCATCCCCTCGCCTTGCCCACAACCCTTCTCCTCCTGCTCTGCCGTGGATGCAGATGACTTTTTTTTATCTGCTCTCCTCCCACTTGCACTGGTGATGCCAGACCATCTCCTATCCCCCTCGTGGCCATTTTCATCTTCCCTTGCTTTCCACCCGAACCTCTCCAACTCCACTGACGACCCCCCCCCTCCGCCCCCCCCGCTCAGTTCAAAGCTGCTTTCATCACTCTCATTTTAAAGCCCCCGCTCTCAACCGTACTTGCCTCTCCACACTGTGCCCCTTTATCCCTCCACGTGGTGCCCCCCTTTCTGTTTCGTTCCCTTACAATTGCTGCTGGGGCTTCTCCTCTCCAGCTTCCTCTAGGGATCCCTCCCGCCCAGGTTCTGGCCATTGGCCTGAGAGGTCTTTAATGAGCTCTTCCTCACCAGATCTTGGACCCAGTGCTCCATCCTTGTCTTCCTCGAGCCGTCAGCGCAGTCAGCTGTTCTTGTCTTCTTGACACCTCCTCCTGTCTTAGCCTCCGTGTCATTTTTGAAGGAATATCTTCAAGGTTTCAAACCACCAGCCAAACGTTTCAAGAAGTTGGGAGAGGTGGGTTGTGTTAGGGCTGGCTCACAGAGAGGACAGCGAACAAGGCTGGAGTGAGTTGGACCCACTTCCCAGTGCCCCAGCTCCCTTCTGCAGCCACGGTCAAACATCTGTGGGTGAGCTCCTCGCTGAGAGTTGAGCGAACCTGGTCTCGCTACATGCAGGGCCTCGTGAGTGCAAATTTGATCTTCCCTTGGATGAAACAGTGTAATTTAAGTCTCTCTGTCTCTTTTCCCTTATTGTCTTAGAGCAGGGGTGGGCAAAATGCGGCCCGCTAGGCCACTCTATCCAGTTTGTGGGGCTCCTAAAAAATTTAGAAAATGAATACTAATCTGCCCCTGGCTGCCTGTCATGTGGCCCTTGATGGCTTGCCAAAACTCAGTAAGTAGCCCGCTGCCCAAAATAATTGCCCGCTCATGTCTTAGAGTGATGTTACACCCTTGAGTGCCAATTCAGCCAGGCACAGAGTAAAGCAAGCCTGGCTCCTTCAGTCGTACTCCAGCTGAGCTGGAGGTTTCAGATGCTGCAGTGAAACGTAGCCCTTGGCTGAGGCATTAAACACATCGGGTGTTATTGCTGGTACCTCTGGAGCCGCCTTGAAGTCACTACAACTACATGGAGAAAGCTGA